CATAACAGTAGCTAAAAAATTACTAAGGTCTATTGAGTAAAAAAAAAAAAACAGAATAGTTCAAAGTAATAAAACTAGAAGTGCTTACTAGATTAAAAAATAAAGAAGTTAAAAGACAATTTAGAACAATCAGACAAAATACTCAAGCAATGTAGATAAGATAAGAGTATATCTCAGAAGACAAAAAAAGAAAAGAATAGGTAACACATAGTGCATAGAACAATTAATAGTTAGAAAAGATAGTTAAGAATAAAAAGAAAAAAATACTAGTAGAACATTGGCAAATACAAAATAAAGAAAATGAATTAGTTATTGAAATAAACAGATGTAAGAGTTGTATAAAAGAAGCAGAATACCAAGAAGATAGATGTCAATAGTAGATAAGAATAAGTAATAGAATCAATATGATTCCAGATGCATTAATAAAAAAAAATAGCAACAAGATCAAGATAACAATAGATCAAATAACAGAAATAATAAAAACAAACAAACTAATAATAGGAGAACAAAAATTTAAAGAACTAAGAATAATAGAAAAGCCAGAAATAGAGATAATTAGATAACAAAAGTTAAAAAATAGCATTAGTCATAAAATAGTAAAAGGAATATAATAAGAACAAGTATATAATATATACAGATGGAGCAGCAAACCTAAAGATTAAAGAAGACACAAAAAGCAGAAATAGTATGAGTATAAGGTAGGTACAAAAAGACAAAACACAAGAATAACTAGAAGAAGAGGTAACATTAGATCTAGAAGGTTAGTAAACATCAATAATAACTAAGTTAATAGCAATATAGGCAGCAATTTTAACAATACCAAAAGAAAAGCAAGTAAAAATATATACAGATAGCAATGCAGCAATAAAAAATATTAGTAGAGGTTTAGAATAAGTATGCAGAAATAAGATCCTCAAAAAGAAAAATGTAATATGGATAATGAAAATTAGAAAGCTTATTATAACAAAGAATATTCAAATAGAGTTTATTAAAGTTAAAAGCTATAGTAAAGATAGATGGAATGATAAAGCTGATAGTTTAGCAAAAAAAAATACAACAAGTAAAAAGATAATATAGGCTGAAAAAATCAGTTGTAAAGAGATAGAGTATTGCTTAAAGTAGAAAAACAAATATACTGACATATTAGCAAAACTGCTATGCAAATTGATAATAAATGCAAGATTAGAAACAGAATAGAAAGAAACAAAAGCAATCAGAGAATTAGAATCAGAAACAAAAGTTATAATTTATGATTGAATATATTTTTTGAAATAAACTGAAGATATCTAAAGAAGTATACTGCATAATAAGAAAAAGTAGTGCCAAAAGAAATGCATTTATAAAGTGCATAATAGATAAACTTCCAACTTTAGATGAACTTAATAAAAGAAGATCAGATATATATACAACAACAGAGTACCAAGTGTGCCAAGATAAAACAAAAAAAATATAGGTATATTTGGTAGCATATAAGATATAAAGGAATCTATAAAAAAGAATCCAAAAAATAATCATTGCAACAGCCTAGAAGTAATTAAAAAAGTTAAGATCCCTTCATATATATTATTTTTTTTTCAGGTTTAAAGAGCAATGTCTATGACTTGTGATCTTTTATTAAGACTTACAACTTACAAATATTGTAGAAAGAGTATTACATTTTGCATATTAATGAGGCTACAATTAGCTACTTATACAACTTTAGTCATTGTCTATTTAAAAGTTCTGCCTACAGGTTACCTACTAATTGCTATACCTGAAACCTGCCTGTAGGTTTTTTATTTAAAGTCTCTGATTTTCAATATTTTTTCTGTAGTACTAACTTAATTTTTTAATAATGGATCTTAGAGCTACTTTATCCTTGATGCAAACTCTATTGAATGAAAATAGATTCCACAACTACACCTATTTGGATTTATGGTGCCAGAGGTGATTTTATATTAAATAAGGCCAATCTTTTCCACAATCATTGATGACATTTTTCACATTTCTCACTATAGTAGTGCCCATACTCTGTCATACTGGTTTCCTTCTAAAAATTCTTTAGATCAAATATGTACCTATATTTGGATTTTTACAAGTCTTCATATCTGATTATAGGTTTCATTTTTGGTTATAGAGTATTTTTACCTCCAGTCAGACTCAAACTGTTGACCTTGTTTGTGAAGGAATGAGAGCTTAACAAGTAAGCTATAGAACCCAACTCTCCTTTTTATACATATTATATATAGTACTCTTCAGAAAAACAAAAGCAAAAGAAATTAAAATAAGAGAAACACTAATTAAAGATCTTATTTCAAAAGAAATACAGAACAAATTGAGGCAGCTTTTAAATACAAAATCAAGATAGCAGTTTATAAATATAATAGTAAGAATAGCCTAGAACATATTCTACAAACAAGTATAGAGAATCTGATATAAGAAGATAAATAAATAAGAGAAAAATAAAGAAATAACAGGTAGGATAAAAAAAAAAAAAAAAAAAAGAAAAGCATTAAATAAAAAAGAAAAACCAAATTAGCAAGTAATAGAAGAAAGAAAGAAAAAGCAAAAGAAAAAGAAAAACAAATCAGAAAAGAAGTACAAAAATAATTTTAAAACTTATCATAAAAAGAAAAAGACCCTTTTATTATGAACTTTAAGTAGTTAGATGAATAACTTACTTCTGCTTGAAGTAATATAGCAGGTTGTACTTAGGTATCATTAAGATGGCTAGGTGATATTGGGCTTAGTTATTAAGGATATTTATGTAATTGCAAATATAATTTTAAAATTTTAATAAAATACTAATATAACTAATTAAGAAAAAAAAAATAATAAACAAAGAAATATAATGACCTAGTAAAGTAATTAGGTTGTTAACATCCAAGTAACAGATTTAAAATTCAAATTCATAAATAATGAATTTTAAAAATTATATCTGTATTATAATAACTAACTTTGTTGATTAGTTAGATTGGTATATTTATAACCTTCAGTTGCATCATTTCAAATAAGAGCTCAGAGCATTTATACAAAATATAATGTTATATATATATAAAGGAATATTATAACTAGTGTTTTATAAGACTTCAGTGCAAACCTATAATAAAACTACTAAATATAGAAAATAAAAAAACCATAAAATTAGAAACCTATTTGAAAATTCTAAATAAAAAGATAATACAAACTTTTGAAAATGCTGTTGAACCAATATCTTATGAAACACTTTTAATAAGAATAGACAGATAAACTAAATAATAAGATATATAACTAACCAGACTGCTAGAATTATTAAAAAAAAAGATACTAAGATATACTATATTAGATTATCTAAATTGAAAGTCTGAAGAGTTCTGTTAATTTTTAACTACAATTAATAAGTGATAATAAAGAAAGATGAATACTAAGGTTTAAATAAATTTTACAAAAGTATAATAATTTAATGATTAACTCTGATTGCAAGTGATAGTTTAGATCAAAGTAATACCAGGTCAACTGTAAGTATAAAATACAGAAGGTTCTAGTAAGGTTAGTACAAAATTAAACATAACTTAGTAACCATGATATGTTTTTATTAGTTTATTAGAATTATTGGTAGAGTAGGATAAATACAAGATCAGAGTGTTTAAATAAAGAATCTACAAATAGGTCTTAGGTATAGCAACTAGTATAAAACCTTTAGGCAAACTGCTTAAATTAAACAATAACTAAAATTGTACAAGTAACTAGTTGTACACTCTTTTTATGTTTGCCTTTATGTCTGTTATGTCAACAGATGCTAGCCAATATATACTATCAATAAATTTCTGAGTCACATGTACTCACCTTAATATTAAAAAAAAAAATAATAATAATAAACAAAATAAAAAAAGAAGTTTTAAAAAAGAATTTATATAAAAAAAATAAATCAATAAATAGTAAAAGAAAAAAAAACATAACAAAAAGAACAAATTAAAAGAAAGGTAATACAAACAATATTAAAACTTATTATAAAAGAAGAAAACTCCTTTTATTATAAACCTTAAATAATCAAACAAGTAATTTACTTTTGTTTAAAGTAGGTATCAATAAGGTGACTAAATGATGCTAAACTTAAGTTTTATATAATTGCAAAAAAAAAAATCTTAAAAATAAATGCAGTATTTTTAAATAAACATAACTTGCTAATATACTGTATTACTTAACTTAGCATTTGGGTTTTTAAAAATTATTATAAAGTATTATATATACTGTAATATTTTAAAAAATTGATTTGTTTATTGGTTTTATAATCAAAAAAATAGCAAGTTGAATAATACTGTATAAACAAGTATAATCCTAAATGTTTTATCATTTTTTGTTGTAAACCTATGCATTTAGACAGCATGTATTTAGACAATGCTAGATATAATATTAAACTATTAAAGAAAATTTACAAGAAGACACTCGATGATGCTTCTAGTAGATAAAATATCGAAGTATCGCCTTTGTTTTTCAACATTCAAAACCACACAATATCTGAAGATTTTGAATGTTTGTTTTGGTACTAAGCTTTTACTTCTCATTTGAAAAGTTTTCATTTGGGCCTTTCGGGTTGATTTTTTTGCTGTTTCCCTATATTACTTTTCGATTCCACACTTTTGAGGGAACGAGTATGACAATATATTTAAAACCGCAGTAAAAACGCGTAGATGATGTAGTGCGACGGTCTACGTCGTCGTCATACACTGATCATTTATAAGTAGCACGCTTTAAATTCCGGAACGTTGATATTTATAATTATTTGTCGTTATAAATATAAATAAGCATTTATCGCGAATCTGCAAGTAATGTTAACTCGTGATTCGATTCTTTAATATTGCAAAGCGATTTATGCAAATCTACCCAATAGGAACTATCCACAATAATTTGTTTCTGAGCAATAAAGTAAACTCCGCAACATCCTTACGATTCAAACTTCGGGTATGTTTATGATTTAAGTTTTGTTTATTGAGACTTTAATATTTTTCAAACATTTTAATTTGTTTCCTTGGATTTTAAGTATGAAAGGTAAAAATAATTTGAATCAACCAAAGAATGAAGTTGAAACCTTGTGTGATATAAACATGGACGTTATTAGATGTCAATATAATTCTACGGGTCCAATGGACATGAGATCATTGTAAGGAATTTGATATATGTTTATCCTCGTTATTTCTTTGAAATCAATTTTAAACACATTTATATTCAATCTATAGTTGTATCAGAGCAAAGAACCAACTACGTAACTTGCTAAAAATTTTCCAATTATATATCAATGATACGAGGGATCCTGCTCGAGACGCAAAATATTTTTCGAAATGGGAAAAGAATCTAAAAAAATTAAATGGATTTATAGATCAGATTAATCGCAACGGATCTAATTTTGAGTTACCACAAGAACTCAAAGGCTCAAAACTGTCGACTATATCAGCTGAATATATAAATAAGACTTACGTATTAATTAATTCTATGAATGGCACTAATTCCCATACAGGGAATAATCCGGAACAACTCGGTACATTAGTACAGGATTTAATTCATACGCATATTGGTTCTTCACTTGACACATCAGATATAAATGCTAGTAAATCACATGAAAATCTGACGTGTACGCCACATGAACAAGTGGTTAATAAGTTGACGGATTCGGAGGTAGAAGGTATGAATTCTTGTATAAATTTTCGATGAAATGAGTAACTATTAATTATAACAAATTATGCGTATAATTTAACATAAAGATTCGGATTTGGTCATTAAGAACCCTTTATTAATGAAGGATGTTGCTATTAATTATAATCAACCTTTAATGGATGACAACAAGGTTGCTATTACACCTTCATATAAACAATCCCAGAGACCTGAAACAATATCTACATGCTCGGGTGGTCAAAAAAATGTTAGCATTATTCAACCTTCGAGCTCAAAGATACCCATTTACTGTGATGAAGTTATTCCTAGTAAACGTTCCTCTGATTGTGTAGCTCAAACTTCATATAAACGAGCAAAACCTTCATGCCGGGAGGTATTTCATGGGAAATTTGTGTCACTTGAACGTAATAAATGGAGAGAAGAAACGCCTGGACACATTGTTTTATTAGATAGCGATGAAGATGATGAAAATGATGCAGAAGACAAATCAGACCCAATTATAATTATTTTAAGCGATGATGAAACAACGTATGCCGATCAACCATCGACTTCAAGCGTATCTGTTACTGCTGCCCAAAAACCAAACAATCAATTGAATACTGAAATACAGCTAGGAAATACAAAACCTTGTTATCTAGCCTCAACACCAAGAAAGTTTAATAAATATGAGTCATTCCGAATTTTAGATGCTGGAAAAAGTGAGGTATATTTAGTTTATGGTACAAGGTTCTACTGTTTCGTGGCTTATTTTGATAATGTTTTATGTCTCAATTTGCAGCTTTATATTAAATTAGACAAAGAAAAAGGTACATTTTATTACATCATTTATCTTTGCAATCAGTTTAACAGTATTCGTTCATTAATTCATTTATTTTTTGTCTAAAGAATTAGAGAAAGCATCTATATTAAAAATGCGAGATGTTAAGATACAAAAAGCAATAGACGATGATAATAGTCGTATATTGGTATTGAGTTAATTGTTTCTTCTTTTAGGCTTTGTTATTTAAGAAAGTGGATTTTATTTACTATCTTATGTAATTTCTAAACTAGGAGCAAGGAACTACGCTTCCAAAAGTATTGGACCAGACGATAGGCTTGCTTACTTATTTATCAGAGCACGATATAGTTTCAGAGAAGGATACAGAACTTGTTAGTACGGTAACTAATTCAAGTACAGATAAAGTGGTACATTTTATCATTACATATGCGTAAATTTTAATAATGTTCGTTGAACGAATGATAATTTTGATTTTATTGCCACGTAGTTATCTCCTGAGGCAGGAATAATAAATAAGTTTAAGAAATTGAAGTCGTTCAACTTTAAGTGTGGTAGTGGTGATGTTAATGAAACGGCTTTGAATTGCAGTAATCCTCAAGCGTAATTATATCTTTTACTTCATTCATTTTTTATGGATTTTTATCGTTATATAAATTAACACAAACTCCATAAAAATAGCCCATTTCTTGCTGTTGCATATATTGCTTCACGAGATCCAAGTTATAATCTACCGGGCAATTTGCAATTCCTTGATATTGCACGAGGTAAAATATTTTGATCTTTTTTTCAAACAATAAAGACATGTTACAACTTTCCAAATTGTATTATAATTCCAGGAGAGGCATATAATCTTTATGGACATGTTGCACCGGATTTAAAATCGAAAATGGGTAAGATGTTTAACTTCATTTTCTTTTGTGCTTATTAATTATTGTGAATGATATTCTAATTTATTTTTATTAAGATCTATGGACATCAGTTACGGACGTTAAATTTTCGCCTGACGGAAAATTCATTTTCTCCGCATCTACTGATGCCACTGTCAAGGCATCCATCAAGATTTTGTTAAGTCCTGTTGAAATAAATATATTTTCTCTTCCTTATATATAAGTTTTTTTTTCAGATATGGCAAATAGACGAAACTAGAAGTTTTAAGAAACCCTATGATACCAAAGGTAACAATATTATTGCAAATAATTTTTATGACTTAATTTAAATTACTTTAAAATACCAATTTTAGTGTGCCAGTCACAAATAAATCGACTAGCGGTCAGCCAAACACCAAAAACGGGTTCTATGTACCAATTTGCTTCATGTGAAGAATCCGGGTATTTATCAAACTTATGGTAATTTACGAAGATGTTTTATATGAAAATATTTATTAATTTTTGGTTTATAGTTTAGTTCAAGTCCATTTTTTGAGAAAAGACCAATATCAGTTTATTTTATCTTCTCAAGGGTTTCAAGAAGAAAAGTGTTGTAGAGCTGGAAGTGACGTTTTATTTGGGCCAGATAATTTACTCATTGTTGGATACAATGGTTTGTCAGGTGACAAACAAGGTGTTGTCAAGGCATGGGACATTAATACGAGAAAAAAAGAATGTTCTTTGAAATGTTATTTTTCAAGTGGTATTAGTTGTTTGGATATGTCCCATTATGGTAAGTTTAAATACAATTTCTGCTAAGATGTCAGCTTGATGTGTATTAATTATATGCCAATACAATTGTTTTTATAAAATAATTTAATATTCTTTATTGTACTATAAATAAATTAATATGGGCATTGGATTTCATTATACAAAGTTACCAATAATTCCTCTTTATTTTATAGGTAAATGGGTCGCATGTGGAACCACTGGTATTGATAATGAAGAAGGTGATGGGCGCATGTGGATCTGGAATTTGCAGTGCGGCTCAAAGGTTCATTGTACAACCCAAGAAAAGGATGCAAATGTGATATCAATATCGCATGATGATAAATACATAGCACTTGGTGGAATATCCAATACTGTCTATGTATTCGATCCAAGAAAAATGAATATGTTATTATATGCATTTAAGCATGATGGTAATTTAAAATTTTATCTATATCTTTACGTTAATAATATTTTTATACAAATTATTTGCTTTCATTGTAATTTTAAGATCCAAATGATGGTCTTCCTCATGATGGAATAATGTCATTACATTGGATTCCGGGTAGTAGCTTGCTTATGAGCGGGGGTAATGATAATTGTGTAAGAATTTGGGACGTAAATAAATGCGGAAAACAAAATCCTTTAGTTTACCGGTTTGCAGATCACGATAGTCCTGTTACTTCTGTTAGATTATTACCAGGTATATTTAGATTTTATTAAGTTTTAAAAGAATATTTAACAATTAAAATCGGTTTTTTTTTTTAGATCTTAGCCTTATGACTGTTGGAGTTTCTACTGGAAAAATTTATGTGTATTCTTCAAATGAAAGTTTTATTCAAGCTGGTAATAGACTTAAATATTTGTAAATTTATAAAATAGAAGATTTTGCAATAACTTTAATTATTTTAAATACAATTTTGCAAACTGTGTAAATAAGAAATATTAAAAATAGTAAACTGAATTGCTTTGATATAGTATTTATTTATAAATTTATATATTGCATATATAATAGATATATTAAATAATAAATCTGACGGATTAAAATGAAATGAGTGATAATGTCAAACAGACAAGTCACTAAAAAATACTAATTTTTGAGGTGCATTTTTTTTAGGGTTTGGAGGTAGAATTTATTATAAACAATTATAAATGGATTTTAGAAGTCAAATATTCGATTTTATGATTCGCGACAATAAATTTGTTTTTTATACAGTTGATTAATTTAAAACCAACATATTTTTTATAAGAAATTGATATTTATACCTTTTATTTTTAATATTTAAAACAAATATTTTTATTAAAAAATCTTTTAGTATTTTAATGTTTTTTTTTTGATGTTAAAGTGACTTCTTTAGTTTTTTGATTTTTATTAATTGCATCTGTGTTAACATTACTGGGTTAAGTTCAGGTTATTGTCTCAACTTTAAGACTATTTTATCCTTGAGATAAACCTTCTGAAGTTTTTTGCATCTATTTTTTTTTTTTTTTTTTTAAAAAAGAGAGATCTATCCTCTATCTCTTTATTAATTAGTCAATTTACATATATAAGATACATGTAGAAGAAACTAAGCTGGAAGAGATGGGGTAAGAGCTATTTTACTTTCAACTTATTCTTTGCTAGAATGGTCAATAGACTTCTAGTCTATAATAAAATAACTAAGAGAAGATTGTTTACAAGTAATATAATGATGAATTTTTTTATTTAGTATGAAGAGTAAAATTGGTTTAGTTTTAGTCAATATTGAAGGTTGTAGAAGTAATGAAGTTGGTCACAAGGAATTATGTTGTATTATTCAGGAAGGAAGTCAAAGTTTTTTATATATTGCAGAGATAATATTATGATGTATAAGAGAAACATATTTGTATTTATGTTTATTATTTTCAAATGGTGTCAAGGTGTTGCTAGCTATTAAATCTAATAATATTTGTTTGTTAATGTAATTTAAGATAAAGGCTCAAGTAAAATTATTTATCTCATAACAAGTTATTTCTAAATTGTTTGCTGGTTTATACATTGCATGTATTATTAATGTTGTAAAATGTAAATGGTTTTCAAGACAGTCTAAAAGATATACAATAGTTTCTGAAATACTATAGCATCTTGGACAGAGATAGTTTGGATGTTTAGTAACATTCCTTCAGTGAAACAAAAGATGTGTAGGTAGTTCTTCTGATAACAGTTTAATTTTAAAATTCTTTAGTACTGAAGAGAAAGGATCTATTTCTAGAGTCAAGGATTTTTCTTCATATAAAATATATTATAAGGATAATGATTAGTTAATATTATTTTGTAGAGTATACCAATAAGGTATATGCTATTGATAGAACCAAGCTAGTCTATTTGTAATTTAGTGTATTTGTTTTATTGTAGTTTTTAGCAAATATGTATAAGGGTTGCTAAGAAGTTTTAAAACAAATCGATTATATAAAAATTTTTATAGTATAGAGTTTAATTGAAAGATATTTTTAGTTTCTTGGATCTGAAGTTCTTTGTCCAGGGTTACTGAGATTATATGATTATATGTTATTGCTTTTAATACTAAGATAAGGTAGATATGTTGTTGCTTGTCAAGTGCAGGATAGTTGTATGATTGAGTAGATTGTATGAGGTTAATTAAATTAACTAGTGAGGAATTGTTGATATATATTTTTATATTAGCATAAGGATCTGTTGAGGTTAGCACAAATGTTAGCAAGATTAATAAAATGTTTAAATAAGAGAACCAGAGGTTGGTAAAGCAACCAAAGTTGATATAAAAGTATTAAAGTTGATATTTTGTCACTATATAGAAGTTACTTTTTACATTTTGTCAGCCACTTGTTATATATAGTGTTATATTTTTTTTATTAAAGTTAGTCTTTGTTAGAATGTTTCAAAATAGTATTGAAGGATTGGCAAAGGAACAAAGAGGGTTAGCTAAGATTAAGTGTATTTTTTGATTGAAAAGCTAATATGTTACCACTGACATTAAGGTTATTGTCTTTTTGAAATCATTTAGATCAATATGGATTTTCTTTTTGCAATCTACTTGAAGGTTGTAAATTGGTTTTGTTGCCTTAAAGTAACAGTATTTAGATAAGTAAGTTCCGTCTTTAAGTTTACATCCTTGACATGCTATTAGCATGTTATTAGAGTATAGAATATAGTATTAAACTTTTAGGTTTTTGTTGAATAGGTTGTGTATTTTCTTAAAGATTGTATCTTTTGTGATTATCCAACCCTTTTTACTAAGCATTCAGTTGGTTAAAGTGTAAAGATTTAACTGTAAAAATGTTAGTAATGAATTTGTAAATGCAGTTATTAGATCTTACATTAGGCAAAACCAATAAGAGCATTAATCTCGAAGTATTTTTTTGATATTGTAGTGAAAATTATTCTATATTAGAAGTTCTGTATTGGTTGCATTTAAGAATTGTTCAATGCTAGTAATATTTTGTTATTTAGCTTTTCTTTAAGATATGAAGCTTTAGGATAGTTTAAGAGAATTTAGTTTATAGGTGTACCTAAAAATTTTTTTGGATGTGGCCAGTTATCAACATTTTGTAAGGTTTGCATTTCTAATACATGTAGAGCTATTATCATCTAACATGTTTGTGTATTTATTTGTGTTAATGAAAATACTAGAAGTTGTATCAGAATTGAAATATTTGTAAGTATTGTATCTTGTAGTTGTTGTAATTGTAATTTCAAAAATGAGAAATTGAAGTTGGAGTGGTTTAGGTTTTTTTGTAATGTTGAAACTAGTACTAAAGTTTGTACTTGAGCTAAGTCTGTTAGTGCATAAATATCTAAATTAAATAAAAAGGAGTTCAGAACTTCTTGTGCTAGTTTTGTCTTATGTTTTACTAATTAAATGCATGCTTTGTTTAGAGAATTTATTTGTAAAGGTAAAAGAAATAAGGAGTATAGTCAGTAGATGAAGTGTGAAGTAATGACACTGTTTATGATATAAATAACTTGTTTTTCTGTTATATTGGCAAATTGCAGTTTTTTTAAATTGATCTTAACTTCTGCTATTATTTTTTTTTGTACTAGTATTGGCTTTTGTTGATCGAGAACCATGCTCCCAAATATTTGAAAGATGTTTCACAATCTATTGTAATCAGTTGTTCATTATCAAAAATTATAGAGTTGTCTGAATTTGAAGAATTTGTAACTAAAGTAGATTTAGATAGATTGACTTTTATATTAGTGAATTTGTAAAAAGAGGAGGCAGTACACAGAATATTTGTAAAAGATATTTTGTTTGGTACGATTCATAGTAAGTCATCCATATATGTCATTACAGAGATATGTATTTTTTCATGCTTGGAGGAAGAATTCTACTAATAAATTTCTGATGCTTTTTGTATATTCTTAATATCAATGGGTCATAATATATTTTCTATAGGAAGAGTAAAATTGTCTCTTCTTGGTCTACACCATTTTCTACTGAATATGATGCAGTTAAGCCTAAGGTAATAATTATTTTGTTGGTTTAGTATGAAAACAAATATGATAACAGGTTTATAGCTTTGTCTGGAATGTGAATTCTTTTGAGAACTTTGGATAAAGTAGATATATGAATTGAATCAAAAGCTTTTAACATGTCTTGAGAGAGAATCCAGATTTCTTTATTATTTGTAGTTGCATCTTTGAGAATTTGGATAAGTTGTGAGATTGGTTATAATATGGATTAATATAAAAAGGTTGCAAAATTGTAGAGTAATAGCATTTGGTATGAGTTAGAATATTTTAAATCAATTTGTTATAATTTTTGTGAAGATTTTTTTAATATGATCAATTAGTGTAATAGAATGAGTAGACTTAAGTTCATAGTTGTAATATTGTTTTTTTGGAATTAGCCAAATATTAGCTTGCAATTACTAATCAGGAATAATTTTTTGTGTTATACAGCTGTTGAATATATTTAAAAAAAAAGAGAGTGCTGATAAGAATAAATATTGAAGAACTTCATTTATGATCCTTGAAGGTCCAGTTGCTTTTCTTTTGGGTGCTGCTTTTATTATTTGTTCCAGTTCTGTTATTGTAATAAAAGATAGAAGGTTATTGTATATATTGTTTTAGATATTGTTAAGTGGAAGGTAGGTTGTTTTTTATTCCTTCTAATTGTTTTCAATATAAAGATTATTTCTGGTTCATTCTTTGAAATGTTGATGTATTGCTACTTTAATTTTATTTTTCTTTGTAATTATTTCATCTGATAAAATAATTTTTTCAAAACTGATTGGTTTTGCTCTTCTTTTTAGTATGCTGTCTAACATGTGACTAGTATTATCCTTAAAATCTAAGTATTTATGATTTGTATAGAATTTAATTCATTTATTTTGATCTTGTCTTTTTTTGAAATTATGTGTCTGCCAAATTATATGTTTGTAGTATTTAATTTGTGCTGTTAGCTCAGAAAGTGAGAAGCCTAGTTGTATTTGCATTATTAGAGAAATATAGATTTTTGTTAGTTTAGCTGTTTTTGACAAGTGATAGTTAGTTTCTATTAGATTGTTTGATAGGTTATTACCAAGGTATTGTAAATATTTGTTGATATATTTTAAGACTGAATGCAATTTGGTAGCTTTTAGTGAAGGACTTTGGTATTGTGAAAGTATATAGGATATATTTGTTTATTGTTTCTTTGGTTTTTGCTAACTAAAAATTTCAGGACTTATTTATCTCATCATTGTCTATATTAGGTACAGGTTAGCTTGCATATTGAAAATGTTATCTATTGCATTTTCAAAATTGCTTCAGTCTTTTGGTGTTATTTTGTTAAACAAGTAGATTTTTTTTTTTCTTTTTGTTTCTGAAATTTTTTTGTAATATGAAGTTAGTGTGCCAAGTTGTATACAAAATACAGTGATTATTGTC